TTCTTTTGTACCTGAAGTACTTCCACTTATGTTTCTCATTTGTGACAGATAGGATTTTCCTGGTTTTTCCTCACTACCTATCTACCTTTGTCTTATCTTACACCCATGCTGTCTTGAATCTACTTAAGCATTTTTCATAATTTCAGAACTACGTTTTTCAAGTATGTTTCACTCCTTCTCTTTGTAATTCATTGCCTGCTTCTTCTTTTTCTATTTTTTATTTTCTATCCAGATCTGCTAATCTGTCTTCAATTTCTCTTAACCACTACTTTGCTGCATTCATGCCTCGTCCTCCTTCCTTTGTTACCTCTTATGACTAGGCCTAACATTGTGCAGATTTAAATATAAATGTTGAAGGTATCCCACACTTTACAAAATTTACAATTCAAAAACATCTAAAATGAGATAAAAAAAGTATATAATTTAAAAACAACATTTTGCCACTGTTTTTAAATATATTTTAAATTGTGCTGATTTGCCTATCTTCAACTCCTCAACTCTTTTTTTTTTAAAGTTAGAGGTCAGATGCTCTATTTTTTGTTCATCCTTTCTTAAGCTTAAGTTTCCAATTTTCATCTTACACAAACTACTCCCTTTTTCCATTATTTTTTCTCCATTCATCATCTTTTCATGATATTCCACACTTCCTCTCAGGGTTTTTGGCAGATGCTTGTTCACTTCTTCTCTTCAGTAGCATGTTTATCTTCCTTGCACTAATCCCTTCATAATCGGTTGATCTGTTGCTAGAGTTTGTTGGAGAGTGATGCCCTTGTAACTTAAGTTATTTTGTCTCCCTTTTCTCTGAAATGCTTTCGTCTGGCTCCTTTCTTCTGCCTGTGTGATTTTACTGGAGTCATTGTTTCTCTGGGGTCATATGTTGAGGCCACATACCAATGTTTGTCCTTATCCATGCTGTTTTTGTGTGTCTCCCATGATCCTCCTTTGCCTCTCTCTCTCCATTCATCCTTCTTCTTTCCCTGTCACCACTTCTTGTTCTACTGTTTCTGTCTGTCCTCCCACTGCTTGTAGACTTCAGTGCTGTCAGTCTTTACAGTGACTATCCTATAGGCTCAAGGTCAGTGGGTTATGTTTCCTTAGGTTTATGGATCTTTGCTCCCCATTTATGGTCAACTGTAAAGTACTGGGAGTTCTGTTAGAGAGCCTTACCCTTTGTTTTTTTCTCTTCCACTCCTTTGTCTCCTGTTCCCATTACTTTCCCTCCTCCAAGGGACCTTGCTGCTTGCCAACATCCATGGCAGTGTTAGACCCAATGGATAAAGATACTATCAGATAGGTTTCTTATTCTTTTCCAGGATTTATTTCTATCTTTTGTGGTTCACAAAAAATCTGTAGCTAGGCATCCAGTCTTAGTCATTTTATGTCTCAGTTGATTTCTCAACCTCCCTCAATTTACCATGGAGACTGTTCTCACCCTACAGTGGTCTTTTGCTCCAGGTCTTGGGATGATAGAGATGGATTTCCCAATGTTTTTTTCTCATTTGGCTCCATCCCAACAAGCCTTCTACACCAATCCTCTTCTCCCCCTTCAGGAGATGGCAAGTCTGGGTTGGTTGGTCAACCTGGAGAAGTCACTTCTCATCTTTGCACTCCTCTTCTTGAGGTTTTTGCCACTTGTCTCAACACCATACTTCCCTTTTTCTGGTCCCAGGTTTCTCATCCCTCAGCTCTTGCTGTAGATGCATCCTGTCAGAACATGGCCAATTTTTTTCTATGCCTACCCTCTTATCCATCTTCTCCCTCGTGTGCTTTCCCCTTTCCGGTCATTCCAAATTGAGACCCCTTGCTCACTACACACTTACTGGCTCAGCCCTGGTTTCCTCTATTTAACCTTATCCAGTCTTCTCCTCTTCCTCTATCATGCTCTCTACTGCTTCAATTTTACTCCTGTCTCTCCCCAACAGTGTTGTCTTTTCCATCTTTACATGCAAGTTTTATTTGGTCCCTTGCGAGAAATTTAAGATTCCTTTCACGTGTAACCTTCCTTCTTTCCCATTCCATTCATTCTTCCTCCCTCCTTTTCTATCCTTGAAAATAGCATACATTCTCCAGTTGGGCTGTGAATCATGCATTCTCCACTTTCCATCCTTCTATCCCCCCATCTTTCTTAATTTTTAGATGGCTGTTCATCAATGGCTTATTGTTTCTGACCATTGCTGGCTACAGGGCAGCTTTACCTAATAATTTTGGATTTTCCCATTATCAAAATGTGTTGTCCTATCCTGCTCTTTCTTTGCTCTTTTTTTTTTTGCCACCTTCATCCTTCTTGTCCAACAGTCCTTCCTGATTAGGGCCAGAATGTTGTTCTCCATGCCCTTACCTTTCCTCTCTTTGCACCTTTTGTCACTTGTTCCTTGTACTTTCTTTCACTTAAGTCCTATTTATTCCTTTTTGCCTGTGGCCATAGAAGATCTGACATGTTTGCCATTGATGCTTCCCATATTATTTTCCCTCGTTCTTATATTCCTTGTTATCCTGTTTGTGCTTTTCTCCCTAAAATGTCTATGGCTTGTGAAGGGAAAACACATTCACTCCAATTTCTCACTTATATTCTTGCTCTTTTCCTGATCTTTTCTCTGTCCCATCCATGCTGTTCATTGTTATTAGGCCTGAACTGTACCTTTTCATGGTTCACCCTACCATCTATTTCTTCTATAGAATGACATATTTCCCCTATATATTTCTCATTACCTCAAGGTATAGTTATAGCAACTCACCCTATGCTTCATTGAATGTAGATTCACATCAACTCTTTTAGGTCTTCTCTCACCAAATCTGACACCTTAGTCTCTGTCTGGCTGCTCACTTCATCATTCACTGGTGGAGTTCATGTAAGCTGGCATATGGCTGCCCTGCATACTTCTGTCACACATTATCTTCATTACCTGGCCATCTCTTCTTCTTTGGAATATCAAATCCTTCCCATTGCCATTTTACAACACTTACTGACTCTGAATGGGCAAGTTCTTTTTCTACATATCTTCCTTTTACAATGGCCTATCTCTACATCTCTGGATCATGCAGTCCAGGTATACTTAACTTTAAATCCACATTGTGCAACCTTTAAGGTCTACAATACTCATACCATAAGATGGGGTGTTCCACAAGACTGCTCAAGGGTTTCTCATTGTACATTGCTTCATAAGTAAGGTCTGTTGCAGACTGTATCATCTCATGGACTATCATGAGTAAAGCAGTGCCAGGATTGCTGCCCATCCCTCCAGTCCTAATTGAATAAACTGGAACTGGCCTGTTTTTTGAAATAGTGTCATCCATTACACGGTCTTAAGGTGTGGTGTTCCTCCAGACACTCCATCTCGTTTTTCCCCTCCTCTAGTGGAATATGAGAGTCCTTACCACTTACCAGTTCCTGGCTGCTGGGGTGATGGACCACAAAGGCTTCCTCCTGAGTGTGACCACTTCCACTCAGTTGAGGGTAGAGCAGTGTGAACCCTCCTCTTCCCTCAGAATAGATGAAAAATTCCCAACACCACTTAGTTTTGGACTGAAGATGACCCACAAAGTACAGTTCACCCCTCTGGCTGGTTTTCCTCTTCCTATTACTGTCTGGATATCAGTTCTTCTGCAGTCTGGTGTTTGATAGGCACAGGACCAGCCAAATTAAGTCCTCACACATGTGGTTGGTAAGAACTCTCCTTTTACTGTGGACTGTACAAAAGAATTCCTGACACTGTCTGGTTTTGGACTGGAGTTGACACATCAAGTACAGTCTGATTTACCCTAGCTACTCTACACCATATGGTATATCGATTTCTAAAATTGTACTTGTGTCCTTTCTGCCTGGCTTGGCAACAAGTATCTTCACTGCAGGCCAAGAGTATACTCCTGGTACAGACGAGGTGTGGTCTCCCACAGGTGTAACCCTATATTTTAGGGTATCATATTCCATGGGCTCTCTGAGTGCCTCCCAAAGATATCTCATCTAGGTAAATTTTGCACTGGTACCCCACCATTTCAATGTAGGATTCTAGCTATTATGTGAGCACAGGTAAGGTATCGTATTGGAAGTTAACATTTTCCAACACTGTAAACATTTTTGATAGATACTTACTTCCTCTCACACTTTCCACTCATCCTCACCATTTCTGGTGTGCCTTTTCTTGCCTAATCTTAAAGTGATGAGTGTGATCTACAGTATAGAGCAAGTCAGCTGCACTAGGAGGGTGTGTCGCACTCCTATTGATGGAGAGTTCTTGTGTGCTCATTTGTATGCTACAACACAGCTATACCATGTGTAATCATGTGAAGTCAGATGTAAGCCTCAAGGCTAGTGGTGATTGAAAACTAAGAATAGATAGGTCAGCACAAATCAAAGAAAGCTATTATGTGACAGGATGTAAGTATCCATCAGAAATACATTTTTAGTGTTTGAAAGTATTAACATTTCTATGATGGTTAAATTTTGAAAAATTTCAGCCATTAATAAATAAATTTCAACTGCAATTCTGTGATTTTGTTGCACGACTGAAAGTAAAATTGGAATGTGTGTGTGGGGGGGGGACTGAAAACTTGCCAAGATCTTTTATTTAAACGAGTATTATAACAAAGAAAAAATTGGTGAAGATTGATTGATCTTGTTCTTTATGCACAAACATATTCATAGCTTGAGAAAAGTTTCTAGAAAATTTACTGTAATTCTTCAGAAAATTAGATAAAAAATAACGTATATAAAATCACTGTGAATAAACAAACCTGTAATAGCAGTGAGAAATAATTTTTTGTAAGAAAAAAAAACTGAATAAGACCTTCAGATATACACACGGTTTACATCATAAGTAACTGTCTACCACCAATTTGAGTAAACTGGAAGAAACTGTAAACAGAATTAGATCAATTTAACACTGATGTGGAAAAAACAAAACATGAAACAAGTTTTTTTAACATAGATGAGGGGACCTAATACATTTCCATTAAACTCAATTAAACTAAGTTATTTTGCATTACATTTATCCTTTACGTACCTCTTTTACTGCCAAATAAGAAGCTGTAGACTCTTCTGACGGTTGAACCTTGAAGACACTCCCAAAAGCTCCAGAGCCAAGAAGATCTAAAACCAAGTATCCACCAACTTTGAAGAGAGGACAGCGTTGCTTATTTAAGTTATCTACAGCTAAGCTTACAGTCTTTAGCTCCTCTGCCTGTATTATCATAACATTGTTTTTTTTAATAACTTTATAAATGAGATGATACTATGAAAAGTATCAAAAAAGATTTAAAGTAAAAGTCCATTCTTTATGGAAGTTATGTATTGGGGCATACAGAATAATGTTAGATTTATCAGTTCTCATTAATTTCATTTTAGTCTGCTCACTAAAAATAAATATCACATGCATTCTTATCTACTAATATGATTTTGGAAAACAAAAAAAAATCACAAAAAGCTTTAAATGCAAATAAAGATTTTCAAAAATTAAACAATCAAAATGGTATTTTGAGAAATAATAAGGAGAACATGCTTTTCAGGACAAAAATCTGTGATGATCAGCTTTTTAGAAATAAAAAAAAACCTTATGAATTATCCATCTTCCTAAATAAAATATTAAAATTAGAAAACAAATTTTTATGTAGTAAAAACAAATTAAATATTTTGAATATGAAAATTTACAACAATTATCATATATTTAAATGGGTTACTTTATTAAAAACATTAATTAAAAAATGATTAAGAAAACTTACTGTTATGTTGTTCAGTCGATCAACACAACAACGATAGAGAGACAAATCTCGTTTGTAATGATTTACAGAAATGAACGTTTCAAATATGGCTGGAGGAAAAAGGCGATGGAACCACCTTCTGTTTCGTTCAAGACTAAACAGAAATCTCATTGCTCTCAATGCTAGGAGCTACAAAATATTCAAGTGAAATATATTTTTAGAAATTTGCAGTTTTACAAGTTTCTCCTGTTTAATGTTATATAACATTAACAGATATAAAAATCAAATTGAGTTTTGATTAAGATCTAATTCTATGGTTAGTGATCATATTGTTACTTCTATGTTGTTTTCTATAAATGCACAAAATGAAAAATCTTGTTGTTTAAAACACAGAAAACAAAATACTTAAATTTTAATATTTTACAGTCCAAAACTAGTGTATAAACAATATCCAGACAATAATAGCACATCATCATATGATTTAAAATATTACATGGAGTAGTACTACATTGTGTTGACAAAGGTTAAACAGAACAATTATAAGAATACAAATTAGATGTTTAATTGAGGTTACACTGGTTTTCAACAGATAAGTATCAACCATCTGCAATTCACAGCAAATCCTAAAATAAGTTAAGCAGATAATAAATTGAACACAGACAGCAAAGGAAAAACACAAGTGCATGAATAAAAATTCATACAGCAATACTAAATACTGCGGTTTTAACTTATATAGGCCAGCTTCTATCTATGTATTATATAAAGTAAGACTGTCTGTTTGGAAATCACAAGTTTTTGTGCTGAAAGTTGGTAGAGAACTGTGGATTCTTCCAATGGATAAGAAATCAAATAAAACAGTTTTTAAGTTTGGCAGCCATTTGAATTTTATCCCTATAATGCCATGTATGAGGGCTCAACAGGGTATAGAGGTTAGTAAGAAAAAATGTGAAATTGACATGAAATGAAAGTGATGCTTAATGTCATGCACAGCATGAGTAACTTTACATCACACAAACACTGTGTACAAGGGCTCAAAATACTAGGAGGAGGGGATTCTCTACAACCCCATTTATAGCAATATTTTTAAACATTCCCAGGTACCTTTGCTAGTGGTCTTTATTAACAGAATTCTGGGTGATGGAGTAGAAAAAGCATGTCTTAATGATATGAAAACAAAAACAAAAGTAATTATATACTGCACTATCAAGTAAGAACAAAAGTTCCTGGTGCAGTATTCCATGATCTAAACTACCCACATCAATGACAGTTCTCATTATTCATTCAAAGGTAAACCCAAAACTCACACTAAATTATACAAGTCACTGTACTACTCCTCAATGTAAGTGCACTGCAAGGTCTGTTACTTCTACTAGTGTGACAAAAAGAAGAACGCTATGATGAATATGGGATAACCTTGTTCCGTATGCACAAGCACATTCATAGTTTAAGGGTTATTTAATTAAATTCTGTTGAAAATTCATAAAAGCTGATTACAGAAAAATGAAAATATGTCAATAAACAAATTAGTAAAAACAGCAAGAAATAATTCTGTTAAAAAACAAACCTACAGTAAATAAGCCAATTTTAGATATACATATGGTTTACATCATAGATTATCATTCAAGAACATCTTGGTGAAACTGGTTGAAACTATGAAAACAGATTTCTTCACCAATTATGAGGAAAAAACATGTGATTCATACATACATACACAGTTTTTTAACACAGTTGCGTGAACTTACTTATATTTAATTTAAATCAAATTAAAATAGGTGATTTTTTTTATTTCTTGAAATAAAATATGGCCCTCTTGACTTCCTAGCCATAAAACAGTTATGTGATAATTATGGGAAGTGATGGCACAAATATAGGGCAAAGCAAGAACAATTATTTACAGAGTTGTCATTGTGGTGTGAATCCTTTATCTAAGCTAAATTTTATGATATTCAACATACTTTTTTTTAAGATGTTAACTAACTATATCAAGAACACCTGTATTAAATTTTGAAAGCTCTAACTGAATATGCTGTACCTAGATATGAAAGGGTGAAATATTGAAACATAATTTGATAGAATTGCTAACAAAGTGTAAAATTACCTTGCTAAAACTAAAGTCTCAAGCTGCAGCTACATGGGCTACTAAATATAAATTCACAAGAGCAATGCCACACCCTGCCTTATTTTGATCTTCAATTATTAATCAACATAAAAGAAAGCTAGGTACTTGCCAACAATTTGAAAAATTAACTAGCAAAAGAAATTAATTTCTGTGAGACTCGACAAATTTCGTTGAATTAAGGTCCACGCTTTGAGTTAACTGTTTATTGGACTATACTTTGAGTTGGTCAATTGGAGACATTTATTTTGTTTATAAGAGCACTTTTGAAAGCTATGCAAGTAAATAAGTTGAGTAAATTATATTAAAATGGTTTTAGAACATCTTTATTTCTTTACAGTTGATTTTGTCACATCCAGTCATATTATATCTAACAACTGTGGACTAATATTGCTTAGAGACGACTTGAATGGTTAATGAAGAAAAACTTTAACATAAGTTGAACATAACAGCAAATGTACAACGTTTCGACTAAGTTTTGTCATCATCAGGTACAAGTAGTTTACACTGACACAGATATATATACAGTATGGAACAAAGAGGTCACATGACCAGATACTGTTGCAAGACATAGAAGAGATATCTTGGCACCCCAGGGTGTTGGTTTAGAGTAGGGTTGTTTTGTTCAGTTAAGTTGGATTCCTTGATTTTTCTTTTGTTTATGTTTGGTTCTTTGTTTAAAATTACTGTATTTCTAATAGATATACTATGGTTTTTTGAGTTGCAATGGTGAAAAATACAGGACGGTTTTTTACCGTGTTCCGTCATTTACAAAATAACATGCAATAACTGCCCAGAATTCTACATTGGAGAAACAGGAAGAAAATTGGAAACCAGATTCACACTGGGCGGTTATTGCATATTATTTTGTAAATGATGTTGGTATTGTGTGATTTTAAAGTTAATCCAACTCAATACAGGTTGTTTAACATTTATTCCTAAAAGATCCTCAATATTTGTAATACATTTTGGCATTTTTATTCAAACAAGAAGATACAAATAAGTTAAATAAAAAAAAACAGATGTAAATAAATGATGATGACTTCAATGATCCTAAATCAAAACTGTCTGTTAAATATAGTAACTTACCACTAAAATTAATGTTTACTAAAATAAACTTCCTGTCAACACTCCAACTTACATTTAAATCTAATCACACGTTTTTACAAACATATTTAGTGATAATCCTAATCAAGAACCTTTATTGCACTTTTTTTAACTAAATGTTTAAAGTTACAGTCAGCTGTATTTGTGTTGCATTAAAAATAAACCAGTTTATCAATATTGCCTAAAAAAACACAACCTATAAGTTAGCACTACCAAATAATAATGCTATTTATTCATTAGTGTGACAGTATAAGCTGCTTGTGTCAAACAAGCAAATTTCCTCCTTCAGTCCAAGTTAATCCAAACCATTCAGATTATGATGTGTTAAATGTATGAGCTGGACTTAGATTTCCATATTTTTACTCAAGTGTATAAGTTACTTAAGGTGTCAATCCAAAGCAACTCAGTTCTGGTGTTGCTTTAAGTTCCAATGATACACTGAAACACAGCACAAGCTCAGTTTTTCTTCAAATACAAGTGACTATGAAAAAAGTATGTTTTAACAGTTGATCAGTGTACAAGTGATTCACTAGAGAAAAAATGGGTGGAGAAAGGTTCTCAACAAAATAGCCCATTTCACCATTGTTTGCTTATCATAACTACTCTGCCTAAATGCCTGTTAATAGCTCTATCTATAGTGAGACAAATGGGTGGATATAGAGTTCACTCCTGTTATAGAAACTTGTCCACCTCCATTTAACAGTCCTAATCAGTCCAGTCTATAGCATTTAAAATTATTTCCATATTTACAGTTCAATAATCTAATTAAATATAGAGAATGAATAAAACTACATAGAGCAATGTCAATGAGTATTTCTAAATTAGGTTTGATCCCAGGATGAATATCTAAAATCATTCTCTTAAACTTACTACAAATTAAAGGATGGAGAAATAAGTAAACTAACTAGTTACATATACAGTATATAAGTTCCCAGAATTAATTATTTAAAACATTTATGCTGCATACACCTAACAAGTTTGTCTGATGTAAAACATTTGCTTTAAAATAATTTCTAATGTTTGTCTTTTAATTTTCTTTAATATTCTTCACCTTTTGGTTGTTAAACAAAATTAAGATTGAGTAATTTTTTCTTTCTTCATTTTTTCAATAAAAATTTTCAATAAATCTAATACATGCTTTAATTTATCATCAGCTTTTATACCTGTAGATTGCTGAAAGCTTCTTGTACAGCTTGGGGTTCATCTGTTAAGTCTGGCAAAATATCACCACTAGGTGGCACCACATGCTGTATCAGCAAATAAACAGCTTCCTCCTATAACCCCCAATGAAAACAAATCCAATATAAATAATACAAAATAAAATCACAGTAATTGAAATTTACTACTGTGTAAAATTAAAACAGTCTTTAGTTACTCATTTACATACTGCCCAGCTAATTAAAACAAAAAGATCTGATCTAGAAACTACAAAACAAACATATACAAAAATAATGAAACAGTAAAAAAATAACAGAAGAAACCTACTTGTCAAATTAACAACATAACTGTTGATAACAGTTCTGAATATAAACTGTATTTCAATAAAAAAGAAATCTAACTTGCCTAATAATCAAGCAAATATCACAGAGGAAACTCAAAAAATCAAATTATTGCAGGATGTTTTGGTTAGTCAATTAAAGGAATAAAAACCCTGCAAATAAAACTGTCAAAGAAACTGGTCAAACAAAAATAAGATAAATAACAAACACAAATAACATAAACAAAAAGTACCTGAGCAAGTTTACATGATAACTGGTCATCATAAGTCAATTCAGTCAAAGTGGCACAAATAGCTGAAATACAAAGCATTTCTTTGTGGCTTTACATACAATAAAAAAATAATCATATTAAATGTCAATTATCCAATCTATCTTATTACACAACCAACTTAAACGTTGTTAGGTGTACTTATAAGTAATTAAGACACGAAACACTCATGTTTTTTACATAAAATTATTTTAGATATATCTGTTATATAATAGTATTTAATAATAGTATAAAATAATTTGAAAAATAGAGTATTTGGTCAGATATTTAAACACTTTATTCTTAGACATGTGAGAAATAATGTGAGACACTAAGCCATCAGTTTTGTTATGAAAAGTTTACATCTAAAGTTCAAGAGCTATGTAAATACTGAAATTTCCTGTTGAAAGCAACTATATGTGAAAAACATAAATTTATTAAGAGACATTTAGTTTTTCTGATGTTTATATTTTCAACTTATTTTATCTTAATTCTATAAATATGCTGCACTTTTTACTATAACATAAAATTCTAAATACAATCAATAATACAATAGTTCTTTAATTATTTTTCAAATATTTGGAATGACTGTAAAAAGAAACTTGGTAAATGTCATGTCTTTTGATTCAAAAGCACTGTTCACAAGAAGAATTTCAACTTGATAAAGGTTTTCTTTCAATTAGAACTACTTTTATTTGAAGACATTCATTTAACTATTAACTTTCAAATGTATTTAAGAGTGTCCAATCTTATTAACATTACATTTTGTTTGTATCCTTTACTGGGCATGACAGAAGGTTTTAGTGTCTTACATTCAAAATTTTATTAAAGTACTTTATATTTATGTTATACCAATTAGAATAGCATAAAATATTGGCCAATAATCCATATTTTAATAGTATACAAGTTTTAAGTTCTTACTTCTACAAGGCAATATTTAAAAAAATCCTGAATTTCCACTAGTGTGACTACTGCTCAGAGAAACCATAATTTTTATAGCCTTCAATTTTGTTTGGTTACAGAGCTATTGTATATAAAATCAGAACCCCTCCTGCCACACCCACCTGTCACATCCTCTCTTTCACAATTCATTCATAGTTCTCTTTTACATTTCATT